TCATCACAATAAAGTACATACTGAATACTTAACTTACCAAAAAATGATGACACAATTACACTGAGAAACTGAGAGGAAATGTGTGGGGGATAAGAGAGCTAAATCTTCTTACCTGGACGAAAAGTAATAAATGATAAATTGCTGTTTTTAAAGTAGAAGAAGCATGTTATTTAGAAATATGGAGTTAATTCCAGAAGAAACTACTAAAAGAGCTGAAAATGGCAGAAGGAATCAGGAGAAAAGTAGAGTGCTGCCTTCTCGTCAGTGAATGATCCAAATATTTACTATTTTAACTTAAGTACGTGAAATTCAAATATGGACTACACGTTAGATGATAGCATTGAATGACTTCAGTTTCTTAGTTGTGATAACAGCATTATGGCTACCAGGTGAATGACTTTATTCTTAAGAGATACACATTGATGTATTTAGGCAAAGGTAATAATGTTTGTAATATACATGTAAGCCATTCATCAAAAAAAAAAAAAAAAAGATGATTGGGCAGGCATTTGGCACAGTGGTTAAGACGCCACCTGGAGAAATTAACTTCGAGTTGCAATGACCTTGAACAGCCCTTGTCTCCACTGCTGAGGAACAGTTTTTTGGTTTTGTTTTTTTTTTTTTCATGCAAATTGTTGAACTCTTTACTTAGTATAGAGTTGGTCTTCTGTTCATAAAGTTAATTGAAAATGGGTCTTAGTTGAGAATGGGACTGGGAATGGGACAGGGAAGAGGAGCGGGGTGGGAGAGTGGGTGGGAGGGCAGGTATGGTGGGAAGAATCACTGTATTCCTGAAGTTGTACTCATGAAATTCATGAAGTCTGTAGTCCTTAAATAAAAGGTTTCTTTGGGGGAAGGGGGATAGATAAAAAAATATTTAAAAGGGTTTCTTTGGGAAAAATAAATAAATACATTTTTAAAAAACAAAAAGATGTCACTTGGAATGCTCACATTACACATCAGAGGGTCTGAGTTCGAATCCCAGTTTCAGCTTTCTACGAATGCACGAAGGTGATGGGGCGGCAGGTGATGGCTCAAGTATTCTGGCCTCTGCCGCCCTTGTAGGAGACTGGAATGGAATGTCCAGGTCTCAGGCACTTGGAGAGAAAACCAGCAAAGTGGGGTATATCCTCAATCTCTCTCTCTCTCTCTCTCTCTCTCTCTCTCCCCTCTCCCCTCTCCCCCCTCCCCTCTCCCCTCTCCCCCTCTCCTTCTCCCCCTCTTTCCCTTCCTTCTCCTCCCTCTCCCTTTCCCCCTTTCTTTCTCCCTGTTCCCTCTCTCCTCACCCTCTCCCTCTCTTCCTCCTCTTGCTGTCTCTCTCCCTTGTTCCCTCTCTCCTCAAAAAAAAAAAAAAGAGAGAGAGAGAGAGAACGAAACAGTTAAAAGATGATAGATAGCAAGTGGCAAGGTGCTAACTGGTGACTCTAAATAAAGGTGAACTAGATATGGATAGATGTTCATTGTACTTATCTTTCAACTGTTCTGTCACTTTTCTAAATTTTTCAGAATGGAACATTTGGCAGAAGGCTAGGTACATATGCTGTTCTAATATAATTTAAATTTTTTGGACAGACAGAGTTAGATGGTGAGAGAGAGAGACAGAGAGAAAGGTCTTCCTTTTTCCGTTGGTTCACCCCCGAAATGGCCGCCACGGCCGGTGCACTGTGCCGATCCGAAGCCAGGAGCCAGGTGCTTTCTCCTGGTCTCCCATGCGGGTGCAGGGCCCAATGACTTTGGCCATCCTCCACTGCCTTATCAGAGAGCTGGACTGGAAGAGGAGCAACCGGGACAGAATCCTACGCCCCGACCGGGACTAGAACCCCGGGGTGCCAGCGCCACAGGCGGAGGATTAGCCTAGTGAGCCTAGCGAGCGGCACTGGCCCTGATACAATTTAAATGTAAAAGTAGAACATACAGCCCAATGCCTGCTATGTACCATATAGATACCTTAAAATGTTAGCTATTGTCATTATTTTTACCATATCGTTAATATCATTACTTCTCACCCAGCAAGAATGAGGTAAGATGGTAATCGGCCACAGACTGTTACAGGGAAAACATCAACTAAAGACAGTTTTTACTCCACCATTCTACCCACCCATGGATCCCACTTGCAGTGAATGGAATAGCAAAAATGCTCTTCCCTCCTACTTAAGACAAAGCAGCCACAGCGAGGGGACATACCTGCTCACCCATGGCTTGAGACAGCCCAGAGAATAGCCAGTGGCCATTAAAGAGATGAGAAGGAAGTAGAACCATCAGTCTTGAAAGGAAAGGCCATTGTGGCTGCCCCTCACGTGTTCAGTGTGCTGCATCTGGGCGGGGGACGGGGTGCAGCCCGGACCACGACTGGCCACCTTGCTCATCACAGCACATTGCACCAGAGCTGTTTAAGAAGCCACTGGGACTTCACACCCACCCTGCATCACCTGCAGGTCTGGAACCTGTTCCTCTCTAATGGTGTTCACCCAGGCCCTACCCAGGGTAATGACTTCTGCCCACTTGAGAAAGTTGTAAGGTGCTCCCAGAGCCTATCTGGAGAAACCCCCTGCCTCCTCTCCTGACGAGCACAATAAAACTGCAGACTAAGATGCTCAGCCCCACAGCCACCCTGTGATGCCTGGAAATGCTTAAAGACACCCAGCACAGAGGTCTCACCGGGGCTCATCCTCACCCGTCTGTTCTGAGAAGTGCCAGGTCACTTCTCATCATTCGTGTGTATCTGTGTGTGTGTGTGTGTCTGTGTGTGTTCACAACTCATGACTCACAGATCCCATGTTGATGAATTCACTTGCTTGCCAACACGTGCTTGGAACTCCAAAATCAATAGTCACACGCTGTTTCCACCATCATTTGTGGAGATGCGTAGAGCCATGGAAACTAGAAGTCACCAATCACAAATGTCCCCAGTGGAGGTCAAACAAGCGACCCTCTGTCTTCCTGTGTCCTCTCTCATGCTATAAGCCAATGTTCCGTCCACAGTCTATTTACTGTCACTTTTTTTTTTTTGCAGAGTTATACAGTGAGACAGAGAAAGGTCCTCCCTCCGCCAGCCCACCCCCTAAATGGCCACCAAGGAGCCAGGCACCCCCGCCCCAGTCCCCCACACGGGTGCAGAGTCCAAGAACCCGGGCCACCCTCCACTGCCCTCCCTGGCCACAGCAGAGAGCTGGACTGGAAGAGGAGCAACTGGGACAGAATCCAGTGCCCCAACTGGGACTAGAACCTGGAGTGCCGGCGCCACAGGCAGAGGATCAGCCCAGTGAGCCGCAGCGTCAGCCTATTTATTGTCACTTTTCTTACAGTTTCATGCTTTTTATTGACGATTTCACTGTTTAAAACGGTCCAGAAAGTAGTGCAGGAGGGCTATCCCGTGCTTTATGGAGAAAACATGCATGTTAGGCAAGCTTCATTCAGGAATGAGTTACAGTGCTGCTTTCTAGGAGTTCAAGGTTAATGAATCAGCAACATCCATGAATAAGTGTCAGCACTTTGATACTACAAGGAAATGCTTGAGAGAAGCTTCTTGGGAAGGAAAGAGAGGTTTGCTTGGGCCCCATTTTGAGCATTGGTTTTGCAGTCCAACATTGAGTGGCCCCGTGAGTTTGGCACCTGGTGAAGTGTTCTTCCTGGCAGAACCCTGCAGAAACTTCCAGAAAGCAGGACGTGGTAAGAGAGAGAAAGGAGCGTCTGTCCATGTAGTCTCTAACGAACCACCAAGACCTAGTTCACCTCCCATATGTGCCACCTTCCAAGACCACAATTAGGTTAAGGTCCCACCCTCTTAGTACCACACAAACTTAAGACTTCGGGGACCAAACCTCTAACACATGGGCCTACCATCTAAACTAACTTCCAAATGCTAACAATATCTTTTTTAAAAAATTATTTATTTTTATTGTACTGTATCGTATTTGAGAGGTAGGCCACCAGAGAGAGAGAAATACCATCCATCTGCTGGTTCACTCTCCAAATGGCTGTAACAGCCAGAGTTGTGCCATGCTAAAGCCAAGATCCAGGAACTCCAACCAGGTCTTCCATGTGGGTGGCAGGGGTCCAGGTACTTGGGTCATCTTCCTCTGCTTTCCCAGCCACATTAGTAGGGAGCTGGATCGAAAGTGGAGCAGCCAGGACTCCAATCAGTGCTCTGACATGGGTTGCTGGTGTTGTAAGCAGTGGTTCAAATCTGTCGTACCGCAAGGCTGACCTAACAGAGACTTTAAAGAGAAACACACAATAGAATACTACTCAGCCACAAAAAAAGAATGAAATCCTGTCTTTTGCAACAAACTCTGGATACAACTGGAAACCATTATGCCTATTGAATTTACCAGTCCCAAAAAGGTAAATATCACTCTCTGATGTATGGTAGTTAATATGGAATACCAAAAAAAATGTATAGGAATGAAATGGATATCTTGCAATTTGATTGTTAATTTTAGCCCTTTGTTTACACTCCTGTGCAACTGTGGTCTTTCCACTTTTACTTGTTGAATATTATGGTTAGTGGTGCATTAAGCCTGTGATTATGGAGTGGATTAAAATTATGTTTTTGCAAAAATTGAAGGAAAATAAGAAAGGAAAGAGGGAGGCCGAGGGAGAGAGATAGAGGGAGGGAAGTGTGGCTATCTTCTTAGAACCATACCTGTGAAAAACACGGCATCATCCTCTTTGTATTAATAAAAAAATTTCTAAAAAGAAAAAATAAAGAGAAAGACATAAAATAAGGTAATGCCCTGATCGGTTGACAGAAATGCTGTCACCATAGGCTCATGGGAACTGGCTTTGTATCTCTCCTAGGAGAAATGTGTCATTGCGTTTTCTCTAATTCAGGGCTGGCGGCAACTTGTAGAACACAATTCCTGTGAACAACAAGAATCAATCACACATGTGTGCCTGTGTGCACGTATGTCCACGTGCATTTGTATATATCTTTCCGATGCCTTTTTGTAAGATAATATGACATGGTCCTCCCTTGTTCATTTTTTTTTACAAAACAGCCATCGAATGCACTTCTCCCAAGGTTACATCGTAAAATTCAGGGCAGTGACTGCAAAGAAGGAGGAAAGAGGAAAGACAGAAACATGCACACGGCCACGTGGTTGACAAGATGACCCAGGGAATTGCCTCCCCGTTGGAGCTGATGGTTTCCTCTGCTGTGTACAGCAGCCCTTGCTCTCACCGCAACCAGCACTGTAAGTGCCCCAAGGCTCCCACAGCAATCGCTGCACCTGCTGTGGTCCTCCACGGCCCAGATGGCCACCGTTCCACTGGCCAGGCCCCACAGATTGGATCGAGGGTGGAGATTGTTTACCAGAGAAGAAACAGATGAAAGTAAGGCCCTTCCCAATCCTCAGCCATGGAGTCCTCCCTTGTAGCTGCGGCCAATATAAAAATAACTCCAAGTTCTTAATCTTGAACCCTGATCACCTGTGTTAAGTGGAATCCTTCGTGTGATGTCTGGAAAATAGTAGGCATTCAACAAATATTTGCTGAACAAATCAGCTTCTTAACTTAAGTAGTCATTCCTTCTCTTGCAAATACGATTCTGAAAGAGCTGACCCATTCCTAACGATGGTTTATGATTCTTGAGGGCATTTTCTTTTCTTCCCATCAGAGAAACAAGTCTTTCAATTCTGCAACAAAAGTCACTGGGTAGAGTTGATTTGATTCAGTGACCTTGATTTATTGAAATTGCTTGTGCTGTAAACAGAAGCACATGCAGGAAGCAAGAAGCAGCAGAGATGGGATCCAGTCTCAGGGGGGCCCAGGCCTGTGTCCCTCTTCCCACAGGGGGCTCTCCAGTCCACACAGCCGGCTGGCACTTGGCTGGCATCACACCCCACATGGCTAGAAGCCATTTGACACCTCTGTTTGGCAATCCAGTCCACACAGCTGGCTGGTACCCCAACTCACACAGCCAACATCCAGGTCCATGTGACCGACTGGTACCTCAGTCCTCACAGCTGGCATCCCAATCTACATGGCTAGAACTTAGTTAACATGACTGGCTGATAATCCAGTCCACACCACTGAAACCCAGCCCCAATCCTGTCACCCTAGTCCATACAGAGGGTGACCTGGTCCACACAGCTGGCACTCAGAATGGGTAGTGCACCAACTGGATACTGGTTCACTGCTCTCTGCTCTGTACAAAGCAGTCTGTGCTGGCCTCTGGACCCAAGTTCTGGCCTCAAGTTACTATTTGGCTCTCACAAAACAAAACCAGCCTAAATTATACTAAGAGGGAAGGGGCCGGTGCTGTGTTGTAGTGGGTAAAGACACCACCTTTAGTAGGGCCGGAATCCCATATGGGGCCTGTTCGAGTCCCAGCTGCTCTACTTTCAATCCAGATCTCTGCTATGAACTGGAAAAGCAGTAGAAGGTGGCCCAAGTGCTTGGGTCCCTGCACCCACATGGGAGACCTGGAAAAAGCTCCTGGCTCCTGGCTTCGTATCAGTCTAGCTCTGGTTGTTGCACCCACCTGGGGAATGAACCAGCAGATGGAAGACCTCTCTCTCAATCTCTCTCTCTCTCTCTCTCTCTCTCTCTCTCTCTCTCTTTCTCTCTCTCTGCCCCTGCTTCTCTGTAACTCTGCCTTTCAAATACATAAATAAATAAATCTTTTTAAAAAAAATTATACCAGCCAGCACCGCGGCTCAATAGGTTAATCCTCTGCCTGCGGCGCTGGCACCCCGGGTTCTAGTCCCGGTCGGGGCGCCGGATTCTGTCTCGGCTGCTCCTCTTCCAGTTCAGCTCTCTGCTGTGGCCTGGGAGTGCAGTGGAGGATGGTCCAAGTGCTTGGGCCCTGTACCCGCATGGGAGACCAGGAGAAGCACCTGGCTCCTGCCATTGGATCAGCGCGGTATGCCAGCCGCAGCGGCCGTTGGGGAGTCAACCAACGGAAAAGGAAGACCTTTCTCTCTCTCTCTCTCTCTCTCACTGTCCACTCTGCCTGTCAAAAAAAAATTATACCTAGAGGGAAGCATGTAAGGCACCTAGGAGAGCTTCTATCCTAAAGAGAATCAGGTGCTGCCCCAAGGAACCTCTTCCCTGGAGGGGTCCCACCATGGAGAGCACTAAGGGATTTCTCAAAGGGTATGAATGCAATTCCACTCAGAGCTCTCTTGGGGCAACTTTGACATAGGCTGAGAAGGAGAGGTGTCCCTTCAAGGGTCAGTGTTGACCTACGCACAGCAAAGTCTAAAACACAACTCAGGGCAGGCACCTGGCCTAGCCTACATCCTCCATCCGAGTGCCTAGGTTCAAGTCCTGGCTCCACTCCCAATTCCACCTTCCTGCTAATGCAGACCCTGGGGAGCAGCAGGGGATGGTTCATGTGACTAAGGTCCTTGCCACCCACGTGGGAGACCTGGACTCAGCTCGTGGCTCCCGGCTTCAGCTCCCACCTTGGACCTGACCCACAGCCTCCTCTTCGGAGCTTTTGACATTTGAGGAGTGAACCAGCAGATGGGAGAAATTCCTCTCTCCCATGCTCCATCCCTCCATACCCCTCAAATAATAAATAATTAAATTTTTAAAAAGCCTGGCCCCAGCCTACGTGGAGAGCAAAGACACTGTGAAAGTTGATGAGTCTTATACCTTGGGAAAGTATAAGACCACATTACCCACAAACCTCTGGCCAAGGCCAGGCAAAGATGAGCACTGGAATCCAATTGCAGGTGGAAAGAAGCATTCTGGAGTCAAGGATGCTGGACCAGGATGAGGACCTCTGTCTGCACACTCATCCACTGGTCCTCCTATCCCCCAGAGCCTAGGCTATGGTTGGGCAGGGACTGAGGTCCTTTACCGTGTGACCGCAGAGCTAGAAGGGCAGAGTCTCTGCCCAATGACTTCACAGGACACACAGAGCCTGACCATACACCCACGCTTGGAGTCCAGGAAGCCCCCTCAGGTGGATTTCTGATTCCTGTGGTTGCTGGCTGCCGATTAAAAAGCCCTACCTTTAGCCACTTCTAGGAGGGCAGTGGACTGCCATCCCCTACAAGGACTGTAATTCTTACAGGGGGAAAATCCGTCTCCCCCTCAGCTAGCAAGCGCCAGGCAGACACATTCTCTGTCTGATCTTGCATGTGCCGTATCCTCTGTGCCCAGCCTAGCATCTAGCAGAGAAGGCACTCAATGCATCACATGGAGTGGATCAAAGCAAAGAATCTCCAAGCAAATGCGCTTGCTGGCTTCAGAGGCACAAGATCATTAAGGAGAAGATGCTCAGTTGAGAGGGATGCTGAGCATTTTGCTAATTGGCTGAATACCCACCAGAGTCTACTTTTCTCTACCAACCAAACCACCTGTGATCTGTGACTGCTGTAAGAGGCCATGGCTGCCCTGACATTCCCTCCTGGGTTCAAAGGGGCACTGCGGGAGAAGGAACTTGACTCTGTGTATACAAGACCTGAGTATTTGCCATCTGAGTTTCAAAAGGCAAGGGCTAAAAAGAAGATTGAAGAACCAAACTCTGGCTGGATACTGAGGATAAAATGGTCCTAGAACTGTAGGTTCTTGGGCTAAGAAGGAACGTCCAAGACTGGCAGGTGCAATCTACCATAAACGTTAAAACATGCTGCCAAGCTCTCCTGGCCAACCCTGGCAGCTCCAGCACCTCCTCAAAGTCTCCTCTCTCACACCAAAGACCTGCTACCCCAAAGGAGACAGGCACCTGCAGATGTGGACAAAGGTGCCATGGTGTCCTCACTGTGGGCTGCACGGGACATGGGAAGACACAGGCAGCACATGAAAGTGGCACAACCACCGTTATGCCCTGCTCATGCCTCCACGGGCAGGGGTCCCCTCATGCATGGACTTAGCCAGACAGGCCCAGTCGTCAATGCCCACACCACCCACCGCAGAGCTCTGCCCACTGTGCCCAAGTGCCCACTCAGTGCTGCCACAACTCTGGCTCTAGGTTTCCAGCAGCACGTACAGCACCCGCCACCTTCAGAACCAGGATGGTACTGTTGCTGCCGCCGAGAAGGTACCACCTCCACCAGGCTGGGCCCCTGGGTCAAGCTTGCAATGTCACATCCAGCTCACCAGGGGCTACTAATGCTCAGTACCATTCTGATGGAAATCTACTTCCTGCAAAGCCCGAGGGACTGTGCTACTTACCAACAGCCAAGAGGTGAACCAAGGATGCAGATCACAGCTGGGTGTAGAAGCTCAGCAACTGTCCAGCACAACAGGTGTTGGGGAAGCAAACAGGAGAACAGGCAGAGCGAGGGATCAAACCCTCCTGGTGATAGGAGAGGCTCTGGGGAAGGCATGGGCTGAGCCCTCAAGCCAGGCAGGGACCCCCCTGGACAACTGAGAGAGAGGGTTCCAGGCAGGGCGCAAGAGACCCCCAACTCAGAAGTGCTGGACGTTCTGCTGTATTGGGGAATGGCAGTCACTCAGTCACCAGAGCAGCGTCCACTCTCTGCTGCCCTCACTGCCTTTGTTCTGCTCAACAAATGTGCAGTGGGCTCCTCCAGGGTCCCAGACTCTGGTCCGGGAGTGGAGAACACAGCCTTCAACAAGGTGGGATTGTCTGCCCTGGGGGAGCTTACACGCCACTGAGACAAACAGACCACAGCAGGGAGGGGAATTCAGCAGGGAGTGCCGGAAGAATAAGAAAGTCAGAGAAGACTTCCCGAGAAGGGGCAGGGGCTTGCAAGGGTGAGAGAACGAGTGGTTCAGATATCCAGGAAAAGAGCATTTCCAGGCAGAGGGAAGAGCAGGTGCCAAGGCCTTGAGACAGAGGCACTCTGGGTGTCCAGGGAGCATCGGGGAGCCAGAGGGGGGAGAGAGAAGAAGGCCCATGGGCCTCATGGACTCAAGGGTCACCCTACCGGGGCCCCAGAGTCCTCGCCTCCACTCGGATGAGGGATGCAGCTTCCCAGGCCCCCAGGACGCCTCACGCTTCCTTTCTACTGCCCTCTCCGTGGGGCCTGAGTCTTGTTCATTCTCAGAGAAAGAGAACTCAAGAAAAAGCCCAGGGGCAGCTGGGTGGGAGGACAGGGGCAGGGCAGCCCCGGGCAGGGAACAAGGCAGACAGGGAGTGAGGGGCTGGGGTGCAGGGTAGGGAGATACAGGGAGTGGACAATCCCCCCTGGTCTCAGGCCTGGCGGAAGGAGGGAAGAAAGGGATAAGAATGAGGCCAAGTCAGTGTCCCCAGACCCTGGGGCACCATCTTGCCCAGCCAGGAACCCTCCTGGGGAGGCTGGTGTGGGGGAGGGGTCTCACCCAGGGAAAGTGAGCTGCCTCCCCTCCCCCAGGGTGACAGAAGCGGGGAGCCAAGGTCCGCCGTGGAAAGAGCTGCTAAAGGCAGCTCTCAGACTCCAGCTAAGCCCCAGCTGCACTGGATTCTGTCTTTCCCTCCCACCCGGCTCCAGGCTGGGCCCAGGCCACAGCCACCTGGGACTGGAAAAAGTGTGGTCCTTTCCTCAGGGTGGGCTCAAGCTCTGGCTTACAGGGATGCCCCAAGGGGAGAGGGTGCACAGCCTGACATACCCTGCCCTGCTGCCCTCACTCCGCTGTTCTGCAGCAGAGAAGCTAAGAGCCCGTGTGTGTAATGTGTGAGATGTTCGAGAGACACAGGGACGGGAAGGCTGCACCGGGCAGGGCGAGACCCCGAGGCACAGAGGGAAGGAGATGGAGAGGTAGGGATGGAAAACTAGACAGACGCAGACAGAGGGAACACCGCAGAGACGGAAAACAGGGAGAGGGAGAAACAGAGACAGAGGGAAGGGCAGGGGACAGAGACAAAGACGGAAACTCTGGGCTCTGGCAGGAGGCCCAGCCAGGGCAGTCCCTGCCGGTACACAGGCCCCCATCTGCAGAGGCCATGGAAGACAAGGGGCTGGGGCGCCTCCACCCCAAATCTCCCGGTGGAGCTTCAGGGAGGAGCCCTTGCTCCCCAGACACCCTTTACTGTCCCGACACCCACGCAGAGCTCATCACCTGTCCTCTCCCCAACCTTGTGCCCCCACACACACTCGGGCTCTCTCCCTGCCAGCGGTGCCTGGGACAACACTGCAGAGAAGGCCACCCCAGAACAGGAAACGGGTCGTGTGCCATCGTGAAAGACTCTTCACACAGTAATGAAGAATGAAGCCAGCTAGAAGTCGGGCTCCTGTTTCTTGCCAGGTACTGACAATTCTACACGTGGTCAGTGATAGAATATTCGTCCCCCAGAATCCTTTGTGGGTGAATGCTCACAGTCCCCGTGGCTCCGGTAGGTGTTGATAGATGTAATATCTTTTGTAAGTGTAGGGCTGGGCTAGCGGCACAGCAGTTACGTTACCACTTAGGATGTCTGCATCCACCCCAGATTGGAGTCCGGGCTTCCGTGCTCCCCGATCCAGCTTCCTGATAACACGCACCCTGGGAGGCAGCAGATGAGGGCTCCTGTTGGGCTCCCTGTGGGAGACCCAGATGGAATTCCTGACTCAGCTTCAGCTTTGCCCAGCCTTCACTGTGGCAGGCATTTGGAAAATGTAGCAGTAGATGGAAGATGTGT